AACACACAACTAAGAACATAACAACATTGTAACAACATAACACAACAACACGTTCTTCTTTTCCTTGACTCCAAACCATTGATACATTTTGCTCCAGACTCCACAGTACTCTGGTCTCACCCTTATCCTTAATTTCTAGAGTTAGTCTGTCCATTTCTGCACAGACGCTTTTATAGGGATGAAGGTTAAAGTTTTGTATGTTAAAGAAAATGAAATGTAATGGACAAATATGATTTGAATATAAAGACTTTAAGGGGAAAAAGGAGATGGAAAAGAAGCTAGGTTGTAAATATGTATATAAATGCAAACAGAAACAAATATGTAACCAGCATTAAATTAACAATGTAGGAAAAAAGGAAAAATCAACGGTTATACCTACTTTTATGCTATGGTATGTATGGCCAAAATGATGGCCAAGAAAGTTGCATGTGTTCAATTGTTTTTAATGTTTACTTAATAAAATTTTTTATATATATAAAAAACATAACATAACACAACTAACATAACAATATAACATAACAACACAACATAAGAATATAACAACATAACACAACACAACAATAACAACAATATGACATAACATAAAATAACGCAACACAACATAACAAACATAAGATAACAGACTGTCTTACCGGCTTAAGAACTGCCGCGATCCATTTAACAACGGAGGCAAGAATGTGGACAAAGGCTCACTTAACCAAATGTCTCACTTATCCCCAGAAATTTGAGGCTCGATTGTGGTTGTTAAGTTGAAGACTGCCTGTATATTTTTCTTAATGCAAAATTCAGACAACAGATAACAGATAATGGGACCTTGGAAGGGATCTTCTAGGTCATCTAGTCCAACCCCCCCAAGCAGGAGACCCTATACCATTTCTGACCAATGGCAGTCCAGTCTCTACTTGAAAGCCTCCAGTGATGAAGCTCCCACAACTTCCAAAGTTCCATGGGTTGATAGTTTCTCACTGTCAGAAAATTCCTCCTTATTTCCAGATTGAATCTCTCCTTGGTCAGTTTCCATCCATTCTTCCTTGTCTGGCCTTCAGGTGCTTTGGAAAATAGCTTGAGACCCCCTCTGCTCTGTGGCAGCCACTCAAATATGGAAGGCTGCTCTCCTGTCTCCCCTGGTTCTTCTCTTCCCTAGACTAGCCAGGGCCGGTTCCTGCAACCGTTCATCGTATGTTTGAGCCTCCAGTCCCCTCATCATCCTGGTTGCTCTTCTCTGCACTCTTTCTAGAGTCTCAGCATCTTTTTTATAGTGTGGTGACCAAAACTGGATGCAGGACTCTAGGTGTGGTCTTACTAAGGCTTTATAGAGTGGTATTAGTACTTCCCTTGATCTTGATTGTATCCCTCTGTTAATACAACCTAGGATTGCATTAGCTTTTTTGGCGGCTGCTGCACACTTGCTGGCTCCTATTTAGTTGGTTGTCCACTAAGAGTCCAAGATCCCTCTCCCAGTTCCTGCTATTGAGCCTGGTTTCACCCAGTCTATATTCAAGGAAAGAAAACGTAGCTTTTATCCTGGCCTTACCTCACCTCCCTGTCAGGCCTTCATTCTGGAAACAAGCTGTCCTCATTTTACACGTTCAATGCAAATATCACTTTCCAAGCGAGCTCCAAAATAATGCCGGCTTTTAGCTGAATGTTTCTCGGCCTGCTTAATAACTTTGCCTCTTCTGCCTGGACTTTTTATTTTTCAATGTGCCATGTTGATATTTTAATCTTTTTTTTTTTTAAAAAAAAGTTTTTTAAAAATTGGAGTTTACCAAACAGGCTGATGGAGCCTTGCTCAGAATATTTTTCTTCAGTGAGTCTATTTTAAAGAGCGAGGCCAGGTGCCAATGAGGATAAGGGTTTCTGGAAGCCAGGTAGACGTGTAAAATTGTCTCTTCCGCACAGCCATTAAAGGCACATTCAGCAAACATGATTCTTTTTTTTCAAAAGGAAGAAGAGATTGATCTCGCTTGAAAGTGCTTTTATGGATCGCAGCGTACGAAATTGGCTTTTTACTGTTCCAAACAATTGCAAATAGACCATGGTTCTTTTTCTTTGGGTCTCCTTGATGAAGAAAAAAAAACCCTATAGGAAATGTACGTAGTTTTTAGACTCTGCAATAGTCCAGGGTTTTTTCAAACTTGGGAACTTTGAAGACGTGTGTAATTCAACTCCCAGAATTCTGGAAGTTGAATCCCACACACCTTCACCTTCCCAAGTCTAAAAAAAAAAATATGGATTTAGACTGCTTTGGAGGACTCCCAGTTTAAAACATGTTAAGATGTCCAAAATTTGATTCCTTGTAAACAGAGACTCCAGTTGAAGAGGATATAAAGGGCGCACATTCATATGGATAGGAAAATCAAATCAAAAGCAAAAATGTTGATCATGATGAAATAAATGATATTACGTATTAGGTCATGTAATAGTTGAGATTTGCTCAAAAAGAATGATGTGAATTTATAATTAAAGTCTGATAAGGTGTTAATAATAATATAATAGGCATAGTCGATATATATAATATGAATTATAATTTAAATCTAGAAGGGAAAAGACTGCTGATGTTGTGCACAAAAGATATGCACCAACTGACACACTGTACAGTGGGAAGATGGTTTTATTTGTTGTTTTGTGTTTATGTTTGTTGTTAAAAAATAAAAAAAATAAAAAAACAAACAAAAATGTGTTGTTTTTGAAGGAGCTAGAAGCAGTTTGGGTTTGCTTTGAAAGTTTTCCCTCCCACAACTAAACCTGGGAGATAGGCACCATCAAAAGCCTGCACTGTGCTACAAAAAAGACGTTACCAAAAAGATATCGAGACTTGGGGAAAAGTTCAGAGAAGAGCAACTAAGATGATTAAAGGCCTGGAGACAAAAATATATGAAGAACGGTTGCAGGATTTGGGTTTGGCTAGTCTAGTGAAGAGAAGGACCAGGGGAGACATGATAGCAACCTTCCAACATTTGAGGGGCTGCCCCCAAAAAGAGGGGGGTCAGCTTATTCTCCAAAGCACCAGAAGGCAGGAGAAGAAACAATGGTTGGAAAGAGAAGCAACCTGGAATTAAGGAGAAACTTCCTAACTGTGAGGACAATCAACCTGTGGAACAGCTTGCCACCAGAAGTTGTGGGTGCTTCACCACCGGAGGTTTTTAAGAACCTTTCCTTCCTTCCTTCCTTCCTTCCTTCCTTCCTTCCTTCCTTCCTTCCTTCCTTCCTTCCTTCCTTCCTTCCTTCCTTCCTTCCATCCAACCTACCTTCCCTCCTTCCTTCCTTCTTTTCTTCCAACCTTCCTTCCTCCTTCCTTCCTTCCCCCTCTCCCTTCTTCCTTCCTTCCCTCCCTCCCCTTTTCTTTCTTTCCTTCCTTCCTTCCTTACTTCCAACCTTCCTTCCATCCAAACTTTCTTCCTTCCTTCCTTCCATCCTTCCTTCCTTCCATCCTTCCTTCCTTCCACCCTTCCTTCCTTCCTTCGTTTGTTTGTTTAAAAAAGGGAAGAGGTCTAAAGAAACAGAAATGGTGTAGAGTCTCCTGCTTGGGAGGCGGGGTTGGACTAGATGACCTAAAAGGTCCCTTCCAACTCTGTTAATCTGTAAACTATCCAAACAGACCCAACAACTCTTAGAAATGTCCAGCCGAAGCAGCTGATAGGAAAACCCAGCACCGAGTCCCAGGCGACCTGGAAGGCCCCCTTTCCCTCCCCTTCGCCCCGATCTCGCTCTTTTGTGCCCCTTGGTTTGGAGCAAGGCAAGAAACGCGGCTTCTAGTCTCAGCCAGGTCGCCTTTAGGCCAGCCACTCTGGCTTAATCCCCAAAAGCATGCAATGGCAAACCACTTTTCAAAACTCTAGCCAAAAGAAGAAGAAGAAGTGGGGATGTTTTGGAGGGCTGGAAGCAGCCCAGAGGAGAAGCGTGCTCCCACTGGCATCCCTCTGGGATCCAGGAGTGACTCGCAGGGCACATTTGACAGATTTAACAGAGCTGGAAGGGATCTTGTAGGTCATCTAGTCCAACCCCCCCCCCTGCCCAAGCAGGAGACTTTGCACCATTTCTGACCGATGGCAGTCCAGTCTCTTCTTGAAAGTCTCCAGGGATGAAGCTCCCACAACTTCCGAAGGTCAAGCCACGCCACTGAATAAACCGAATGACAGAGTTGGAAGGGACCTTGTAGGTCATCTAGTCCAACCCCCCCCCCCCCCCCCCCCACCCGGCGGGCCCCCCCCCCCCTCCCACCACAGGCGGCTGATTTAGCCCGGGGAACCCCTGCAATTCGAGCCCAACTGCACCTTTCCCTTTCCTTGCAGCGCGGGGGTCCCCCGAATGGAAGCCCCCCACCCACCCCACCCCGCCATCCTCCTCCGGCAAGATGCACCAACCATCCGCTGCGCGCCTCCCTGGCTCCCTCTAGCTCGACCGGCTCCGCTCGCGAGGAGCTGACCTACTTTCCGTGCCAGGCTCCCCAGCGCCGACGGGAACGCGCGCGCGCCCCCCCCTCCATCCCTCCCAGCCTCCCCTGTCCCCCCCACCCCCACCCCCACGCCGGGCTCTCCAGACCCGGCCCGGGTCGCGCACCAAGGTCTCTCCAATCTCCTCTTTCTCTCCGCGCAGCCACCGCTCAGGATGGCGCGCTCCCCCGCCTGGGCGCGCTCTCCGCCCGCGTGCCCGCGCACCTCCGCCTGCCTCGGGAGGGAGGGAGGGAGGGAGGGAAGGAAAGAGGGAGGGGGGAGGAAAAGAAGGAGGGAGGGCTAAACTCCAGCCGCGGTTCGCCGGAGTTACACAACCCGCCGAGGCAGGGCGCGCGCGGCCGCTGCGAGTTTTCCTGAAGTCGGGCTCTCTGCGCTTTTTACCAAGGGCTGCGCTGATCTTGGGGCATCGGCACCTTCCCGGACTCTTTCCCCGTTTTCCTTTCCGAAAGTTTTTCTTGGGGCTCCCTTTGGAATCGTCCTTGTCGGCTTCTGCTCGCGTTTTTTTTTGGAGGGTCCTTCGGAGTTGCCTGGTTTTTTTTTTGCCTTGGGTTTACACTGGGGAAGCCGGAGGGAAACGCGATGATAGCCCGTTGGGGTTTCCCGGAGTTGGGTTCGGCGTTGGAAGCTGCCGTCCTGGACGACCCGTCGTCTCCCTAGGAGGAGAGGAAAGAAAGAAAGAAAGAAAGAAAGAAAAGGTTCCGTCCGGCTGGGGGTTTTAAAAGGGCCGCTTTTTCCTTTTGGCCGAAGCGAGATTTCAGCCGCTTCTCCTCCTCCTCCTCGGCTCCGAAAGTCAAGCGCGAAATCGTGGCCCGGAGCTTCGTGCAACCGCTCTGCTGCCGGCGCGGGGAGCGAATCTTGGAGATGCCAGGTAGGCAGGTGGGTCCTTGGCTGCGAGCAGGTGGCTTTGGGAAAGGAAACCCAGCCCCACGCCGAAAGGTGTCCCAAAAGAAATAAAAAAACAACAACCTTGGACTTTCTTTGGTTTCTTTTTTTGTCCTTTGAAAACCTTTCGCTTCTCATCCAAGAAGCTTCTTCAGTTCTAACTTCAGAACTTTTAAGAAGAGATTGGACAGCCATTTGTCTGAAACGGTATATAGGGTTTCCTGCCTAAGCAGGGGGGGTGGACTAGAAGATCTCCAAGGTCCCTTCCAATTCTATTCTATTCTATTCTATTCTATTCTATTCTATTCTATTCTATTCTTCCTCTTCTCTCCTCTCCTCTATTCTATTCTATTCTATTCTATTCTATTCTATTCTATTCTATTCTATTCTATTCTATTCATTTCTTATTCTATTCTATTCCATCTTCTCTTCTCTTCTCTTCTCTTCTCTTCTCTTCTCTTCTCTTCTCTTCTCTTCTCTTCTCTTCTCTATTCTATTCTATTCCATTCTGTCTTCTCTTCAGTTCTCTCTTCTTCTCTTCTCTCCTCTTCTGTCTTTTCTTCTCTTCACTTCTGTCTTCTTTTTTCTTCTCCTCTTCTCTTCTATTCCATATTCCGTTCTGCTCTCTTCTCTCTTCTCTTCTTCTCTTCTCTATTCTATTCTGTTCTATTCCACTCATTGGATGAGAAGCTAAACATTTTCAAAGAAGAAAAAATAAATAAAACCCCAAGAAAGTCCAGTTGCCTTTTGAAGGATCAAGGTCTTGTCCAACTCTGTCATTCTGTAAGGGTCTCCTGCTTCAGCAGGGGTTGGACTGGATGACCTCCGAGGTCCCTTCCAACTCTGTCATTCTATGATTTGGGGGGGGGGAGACACCTTTGGGACAACCTTTACCTGGATAATTGAGAATCTCCATAGACTACTCCATAGACAATGACCAACATAAGCAGGCTTGAGCAGGTGGTGCTGGATTATGGTTAGGGTTAAGGTCTTAGAGCAGGGGGCTGGACTAGAAGACCTCAAGGTCCCTCCCGGCTCTATTCTGGTTGATTCTGATTGTGACTCTCGGCACCCTCAATGCTCCGTAGTGGCTTTTTTCCCTCTTTGAGAACTCCTCCAGAATAACTTATTGTCCAAGATGCAAACATTACGTGAGTAATTGAGTGACTCTACATTAAAGCCTTCAGGTATTTCCCACCCAAACAAAAAACAAAAAAAAACCCCTCCAGGATTTCTATAAGGAATCCACAAATAAATCATCCCTGAATCCATCCGACCGGCCAAATCAGAAGTCAAGAACAGCGTAGAGATATTTTTAGGTCAGCTGGGAGGGATAACAGAGGAGGGAGGGAGGGAAAGGGTTGGAGGTGTTTTCCCAGGTAGATTCTTATTCTGGGTCTGATCTGAACCTAGAAACAATGCCCTGTGCTGAGCTTCTGTAGAGTTTTGCCTGAGTGAAGAAAGTAATTCTGAATTTTAGAAAATGTTGGAGACCATAAAAGATCTTTAAAAATGGCTTTGGACTTTCTACTCTGCCTCCGTTGCTGCAAAAGTGTTTGGCTTTTAGGCTGAGATGTACGGATAGAAATTCATTCGGATGGCCAGTCTAGTGGAGAGAAGGACCAGGGGAGACAGGATAGCAGCCTTCCAATATTTGAGGGGCTGCCACAGAGAAGAGGAAGGGGTCAAGCTATTTTCCAAGGCACCCAAAGGCCAGACAAGGAGTAATGGATGGAAATTGAACAAGGAGAGATTCAATCTGGAAATAAGGAAGAATTTTCCAACCGTAAGAACCATCAACCTATGGAACAGAAGTTTCCTTCAGAAGTTGTGGGAGCTTCATCACTGGAAGCTTTCAAGAAGAGATTGGACTGCCATGGGTTAGAAATGGTGTAGAATAGAATAGAATAGAATAGAATAGAATAGAATAGAATAGAATAGAATAGAATAGAATTCTTTATTGGCCAAGTGTGATTAGGTGCAAATGCTCTCAGTGTACATAAAAGATAAGATACATTCGTCAAGAGTCAAGAATCATAAGGTACAACACTTAATTATAGTCATAAGGTACAATAAGCAATCAAATCATACTGGGAAACAGTCAATATAAACCGTAAGGATACAACAACAAAGTTACAGTCATACAGTCACAAGTGGGAGGGGATGGGTGATAAGGAGTGATGAGATTAATAGTAATAGCAGTGCAGACTTAGTAAGTAGTTGGACAGTGTGGAGGGAATTATTTGTTTAGCAGAGTGTAGGGTCTCCTGCTTGAGCGGGGTTGGACTAGATGACCTACAAGGTCCCTTCCAACTCTGTTAATCTGTTAATGTTCTGACATGACAGTTGGAGAGACCTGTCCCTCTAAAGACAGACACTAGGACTTAAAAAAAAGAAGTAAAGCTGCTGTTCCCGACCTCATTTTATATACCCTGTTTGTAAACACCAAACCTCTGGAAGTTGTAAATAGGTGTACTCCTTCTAGCTGGCTTAGGAACTGGTTGGACGCATTGATTGATCCTCCCGCTGATTACCAGCTGACCAAAATTGGCGATCGATTTGTCTTTTTTACCTGGGTGTTGTTCAGAGCGTGTGATGCGGCTGTGCCCAGGTGACTCACGGAGTGTCATCCTAACCAACCTCTTGCCCAGGGCACCCACCCTAATGTATATGGCACTCAG